TTGCCATATCTTTGTTTTTTAAGTCTCAGGAGGTATGCACATTTTGCAAGCTTCCGCGGTTGATTTTGTGATTATAGGTTGTGAAAATGCTGTCGGACTTTGGTGGTCAGCTGGGGCTATGGTCTGGCGTCTCCTTCATAACGCTGTGTGAATTTGTTTGCCTGCTTATTGAACTACTCTACATTTTCGTCAATCATCAGATCAGTGAACTACGTCGAAAAAAACTTGCTAAAGAATACAATGGGATTGAGTAGTAATGAATTTTGTAATTTAAATTCCGATGCGGCTCCAAGCGTTTCCGGAAAAGATCGACATATTATGGTTGCACCTTCTTCACTTGGTGATATCGTATTAATGAAGCCTGGACTGCTTATCCACACCAACAGTACACTTGTCCCTCACAACGTGTTCAAGAGGCAGAAATTGTTTCAGTCGTATTTTTCTTGTTATTCAACGATCTCCTCGAATACTTAATTGCCTTTTGTCTCTTATTTTAATCAAAAAACATACGATAGTGCAAAAGCCAGTTAAGCAAATGCTATTCCTGAAAATCGACAACTCTGTAATCCAGAAATTTTATTTTCAGTGTATTTGACCAGGAAATTGATTGAATCACAGCAGCAAGTGAATGCTGCCTAAGGTCGCACGCCATCTCTAGACATGGTCAGGTGGGAAAAAACCGACACTTCTGCCAAGAGGTAACCCAAAAGCGCATCCTGTAAATTTGAATCGGCCACCGATCCGTGAAACAGTGATAGTATTCAAATCATATTATGTGCAACGCAATCAATCACTTGTATCAAATGTCACTTTTTTTTCTTGACACATTTGCATTTGGTGATGAAAGCGGTTGCCTTGGCAGAGAAGCTTCCACTCGTGGTACTTTCTGTTCGAATGGTCATACCACGCACTTGACCGATGTTCGACGGCACGCTCTCTCTTGCGATTGATACCACACCTTCAAGTGTTGAGGGCTCTTCTTCATACGTGTCTGGCATTTCCCCTCTTCTTTTTTCGCCTTCAGCAAGCACAAGAGGTTGACACTCCGAGGTGTTCATGCTAGGTTCCGCGCTGCACTTCTTTGTAATCACAGGTTCGGCCTTTTTCGGTTCGCCTCCACGTTTACCACCAACTGAACTGGCATGTTTCACCTAGCAAAGGATAACAATTTTAACAGAAAAAATAACAAAAAGTGGTGCAAAATAAAAAATAATAATAAAAGTAAGTTAGTGCTTCAACGTAGCCAGCAATGAAGATAGCAAGGGCGTCAGAACAATTGCTAAGAAGCAAATGAACGCAGCATGTAGCTAAGATTGATGTGAATCTGCATCGCAACAGTGCTAGAATTCAAAGTAAAACCGGCAGCAGTGAAAAAGCCGGAAGGAGAAACTCTGTGATGGGCCGAATATGGCTGCGGTAAATGCAACTTTAAATATCCACAGTTTGTAGCAAAGCAGTATGCTGAGATGCAGTGGCTTCCGATCGAGCGGGAACAAAAATTCTTTTTTCTTTGGTGCGCGTTGATTAAACTTCTGCTTAGCATAATTTTGTATAATGCTGTTTCATGAAAATTCCTGGATCTGTCTAACACTGAATATCAACAGACACTGTACTGATTTTTCTGGTACTACCAGCCGCCTAGGCAGCAAACTAGCTGGGGTCCAGTTCGTAGTTTTTGCAATCATGTAATAAACAAGACCGGTGCTCTCCTGGCAGTGTATAAATCTGCAGGGGATCGAACTCTATTCTTAGTATTTCAGGGTCTTTTTTGTACTATACTGCTGCAGAAT